TTATACACATTTTTTGTTGAAAATGTAAAATATCCTAATTTTTCCAAGTTAATATTTTATCAGTAGTCAAGTTAGAAATATTTTATAAATTTATTTCATTCATCCATTTCTGAAGCAATCCATTAATGATATGTCAAATTAAGATGGCCATAGCTTAAAATCAATTTGATGTATCTCAAATAATTGTTATCTAAAGGAATTGTGTAATATGATACGCAAATAAACAAGATTTTGCGGATAATGATCGAGAATTAGTTGTAAAACTAATTACGAGAGAACCAATACATTTGTTCGTCGCGCGACCGGCATGATCGTGTGCACTCTAAAAGTTAGTCAAATGCGACTTAGAACCTACTACATGTGCGGATCAGTTCAAAATTGCAATGCCATAGTAGTGTGTGTAGTAGCAGTATTGGTGGTAATGGGAAAGATTACTCGTAGACGATGTGATCCAAGAGGAGAATATAGCTTCATGGGATAATTAAAAAATCACCTATACGATAGATAAGAAACTTAATTTTTAAAAGGACACATAGAGTAAATGCGTTCCCAGGTAAATTCAGTGGTGCAATAAAGAACGACTCATATGGTGGCAGATCTTAACAATGGATGAGGACTGGGCTGATTAGCACCTTCGTCCAGATTTTTGAAGCTATTAAATCCTGTACTAAAATAGCTTACCATCAAGCGCCTACTTTTATTGACCCAACATTTTGCTTAATTTGAGAGAAACGTACCACCCTTCTGACCAGAGTCACACCGAATTAAAACTAGTATAGTGATTTGTTCTTTACATTTCACCCGACAGACCAGGAGTTCATATGCCCCACTACTAAGCAACTTCTTCACTTGAAGTCATATGAGCACACTGTTCTGCATCTAGAGGATTATACCACTATGAATTGCAATTCCTTCAGTCCCATCTTTCACTACCATTAGTCTCAGATACAACCATATTTCTGAGAGATTGATACTGCTGAAGGCCTTTCGGATCTGTTATATTATCGAATTTAGCCTGACTTATACTCCATTCTCATCTAACTTCAAATTGTGATTACATGAAATCTTTAGGACTACATACTTTATTTAAATAGACATGAATCTGATTGGATCACAAAGAGCAGTCTTTTGAATCAATCTACAAGACAGTTTTCATATTATGTCAAGTGGGGAAACATTTCTTTCTACTAGAAGAGTTACACGTTCATAGTATACACAAATCTTAAGACAATTAGTCGGTAAATATAATCAAAATAAAGAGTAGAATCGAAGATCATGTAGAGAAATCAGACAATAAATATACCAGTGGTTTACATAATTTCTACTTTACTTGTTTTTGGAGATGGAAGAAACATGCAATTATTTTGATTTACGCACAAACAATGAGTAATAAGTACTAGTAGGTCAGGTGAGCTATCAATTTTAAGCTTTGAACAGAATCATTACTCTATAATTTTTACATTGATAGGGAGAACTTATAATGACTCAATGTGGCAGTTGATTGTTTTGTATAAAGTTTCTAAATTGAAATATCTAACTCGATTATTGAAGGCGTTGAAATGAAATCTCGTCATTATTAAGTGAGACATTCAGGATTAAAGTTAAAATGCTATTCAGAATGGAAATCCTATAAATTTAGTTGATCCATATTTCTTCTTTCAAAATATATTGATATCACGCACATTGGTAAATGCAAGTAACTAATCTTATGATCATCAGCGTGCGATGTAAAGCCAGACTGTTAATGTGAACGCAAAACTGACTCATTATTGGTTAGTGTAATAAAATCGCCAGTTGAAGCAAGCCTTTAGGTTATACGGTTATTAGATACAATACTCGGAGATTCAAGTGGAAATTGAACAAATTAGCAGTCAAATCCAGTCGTTACTTTGATAATGAAACATGCAGTCACATCCTAGGGAGTAAGGATGAAAATCCGGATACCGGATAAACATCGATTGACATTCTTAAATAGCCCAGGAGTCGATTAACCTGATGTTTAGAAGTCTAATTCTAGACTTCAAGGTATTTAGGAGTCTAATGACACGCTATTTATCCTTAACTAAATTGAACAGACCTGGTTATATGCATTATATACACTTTACATGGTAGTATTAATTTACGCTCATACATACACACATGAGTAAATACTTCATATGGTTACGTCCTAATGTGTGTAGTTCTTTTTAAACACATTTAAAATAGGTGCAAACACTAATAACGCCAACCAACCAACAAAACAACTTGCTTTCAGACTAAAAGTGACCTGATTTTTTTTACTTGTTTGTATAACGCTATCGATCCGTTTCCATGCTAAATATGTGGCCGCAACGATCCATACGAAAAGTATGACAGCATTAATCCGAAGCTACCTTTCCAGAATTAAAACAAGAAATACTATTTCATTAGAATAGGAACCAGTCCCAGACTACCGCATCCTCAATGTTTGCGGGATGAAAGTCGATCACCTGGAGACTTATTTACTATTACTGTAGATACGTTTCTACAATCTGACAACCGCCAATAACAGATGAGTCGTTGTTTAAAGAAACTAAGCGGGAGTAATAAAGTGCATGATATAATTAATTCACTGCATTCTCTCATGGTTGCACAAAAGTCATTTAATATTAACATAATTTAGCAGTGAAAACTAGCTAATCGATTCAGAGTGAGAAGTTCTCTCGAAGAGATGACTATCCACGCATTTCAACAGATTAAGTCAGTTCAAAAAAACAATGTACCACTTTATAAAAATATATATGTTCGTTTGAATAGCTTTTAAATTTAATTAGCTGTTTAACACTTGTAAGTGGGAAACTTAAGTTAGCAAACAATATGTCCCGAGCACTGTATATACAGTGACCAGACACCAACTACTCAATAGCTGTCACATGTAAACAAAGTGTCATCCATTCCCTCAAAAGTGGACTGCAAGAAAATTACGTTGGTGTTAACAAACAATAACTCGCAAACAAATAGAAATTTCGTCTGAGTTAGATTTCGGTCCTGCTTATTAGGTTTGCAATATTTTTCTCTTAAATAGATCGGTAACTGCCAACTGAGAAACACATTGATTATGTTCTAATGTACTTAGATGATCAGGATGTATTGGTCAGATAAGGTTGATTGATACAGTGGTGTTTATAAAAAAGCGACAGCTGCCACTGTTGACAGAGACAACCAAGATGGAATCAGCAGTCACACGAAAATAATTGTTATTTCAAGAAATTACACTTAGTTCAGGAGACACTGTCTACGCAAGATAGCTTGATCAAGATCATTCGAGAGCGTTTACAATTATTGGCAAAGTACTACTGTGCAATCTAATTAGGCTGCCTTGTCTTTCTTAACCCATCAGTGACGACCAACTAACCTGTTAACCAAACTGAAGTGTGGAGACCAAAGATTTGTTAGCTGAAAGTCAAGCACTTTAATTAGTAAGTCACCACTAAGATTTCTGTTACCTAGGATTGCCCCACAGAGGGAAGCTGTGTTATTCAATCTATAAAACGTTTAGATGGTTTCTAGTTCTCTTGAGAGTATGACCATAAATTACCCGCTTGCACAGCATGTATATAAACGTGAACAGAATTACCTTGTTATGTATATCTCTAGTTCCCCACCGTTGTTGCTATCTTGACGCGGTGGTCGGGCTTGCCTATCGTGACGAAGCAACCAAGCCATACTGGCTGGAACAACCGTTCCTCAAGGTCCTATCATGTCAGACAGGTCGGTTGAAGAGCGGTAAGACTAAAAGCAACAAACCAAATGTCCGAAGACGAAGTTTTACTGCTGACTGTACAGAGGTGTGACAGCAATAAGGCGTTACCTTCAGACAACCAGCATGACAGCGATGCTGCCTTCCCACAAGGAGGGGTGGGGTTAGAAAAGGTCGACCCTGAAAATGTGCACCTCGCCTTATCCCACGGATATCCGTCTCCGGCGGTAAGGTCTCAACAAGTACGGAGCTAACGCAAAAATTACTCATAAAAAGGTTGTGTGACCGACCTCAAGCAGTTATCCCTTGCGCACTGCGTTCACGCTCTCAGGTCACTAAGACCACCTCTAATCCAATTTCCTTTTCAGGTACCTTCAAAAGAACCCTTCAACGGTGTAGGCAACCGGAAAGTGATAACCGCCCTCATAACTCTAACAGCACTCAAGACCACTGTATTCATAATCAACCTCCCTCTTCAATTCCTATTATTTCTCTCTAGTTGCTTTGTTACTGACCATACAAATAGATGAATCAGAATACAACCAACACTGATTAATTACATTTGGGCTACAAATAACGGAAATATTATTTGGCGTTCTAAACCACTAGTCAACCAAACAGTGGTATGGAATGGGATTGTTTGTTGAGATATAGCAGACGTATCTCAAATCCCACCAAATACTTGATAACCCAGGTTTTCTGATTTGTGATGTTCAGGACAATGGATCACACTGGTTATAACAGTATATATTCAAAATACCTTGAGGCGATTTGAAGTACGGAAAAAGGTTAGGAACAAAAATATCCGTTTTATAACAAGTTCAAGTCGCTGGCTCTTTCCACAAGTAGTGTAACCCGGCTTTCTTGGTAGCAGTAGACTACATCGGCAAACAAATAAGGGTTAAAAAGTACGTTTCACAACAAGGATAAGTAAAACACTCACTATATATCACACAAACAGCAGGTAATGGCATTGTGAAATGAAACAGTATTCATGGTCAGTACACTCTTTTGAGCCAAAACCGACTCATTAGATGTAACTGGAGAAGTAATAATAATTAGTCTGAACCTGTGCCGCTACGTAAATCAAACAGAAATAAACAAGGCAACTTTCCGCTCCACTCTTGTGAATATACGAAGCATAACACATAGTAAGTAGGTGAGTCGCAATTATTTTGCAGACCGGATAAACTTGGAACAGAACTTAGTCATAAACTGGCTTTGTATATTTTGTTACAATCAACAGGCATGAATGCTGGATAACAAAGTTAAAAAGCCGACTGATTATAATAATTTATTCTTAATAAATATAAGTTACATGAGGCATGCCCTGTCTTAGTATCAAGACAAAAATAAATGGTAAGTATTTCCGTGGAATGGATTGTCTTGTTGGTAAACAAAAAGTATGATCGTTAAAGAAACAAGTAGTCAATAGAAGTAGCAATTTAAGGTCCTGAGGAAGAATTAGGAGGGGAATGTACGTTTTTGAGACCGGAAAATCAAGTTTAGACAATTCAGAGAACAGTGAGGATCAAATTAAATCACATTTCCTCCTCTTCTTCTTCGCTGAATTCAAGGCGGCTCGAGTAGCTGCTACAAAAACATCGCTGACACCTTCCTTGGTCTTAGCTAAAGAAAGCTAGACAATAAGTAAAGACAGTACCTGAACACTCAAAGAAGGCATAAGCATTAATATTTTCAGCCATTTCTTTACCCTCATTAAAAGTGACGGGAAGTTGCTTTGTTCTATGAAGCTCATTCTTCGTAGCCTCATCATGTCGTAAGTCTTTTTTGTTTCCAACTAAGATAATGGGGACATCAGGACAAAAATGCCGGATCTATAATAGGATTTATGAACTCGTGATATCTACTTCTGGCAACCATTTTTCAGGAATGTTTTCGAAACTATCAGGAGAATCAATACTATAACACAACAGAACTACATCCGTATCAGGATAAGAAAGTGGCCGTAACCTATCATAATCTTCTTGGCCAGCAGTGTCCCAAAGAGCTAATTCAACCTGCCACATATAATAAGTACATATACACCTACTTGTCTGTTATCAACTTCGATATCTGCAACATAGTTTTCGAATACAGTAGGGACATATACTTTGGGAAACTGGTCTTTGCTGAACACAATAAGTAAACAAGTTTTTCCGCATGCACCATCTCCAACAATAACAAGTTTCTTGCGTACAGCACTCGCCATTGTTTCGGACCAAAACACCCGAACTGACCGCGAGTGCTCAATTTCAGTTTCAGTTTTGAGAGAGTGTGAGGCTGCATGTCTTGGAGTTGTATCACACCTGAATAGTGTGTTTGGTGTATAAAGAAGGTGAGTAAATGCTTCCAATATCTGTACCTCGCCCTTACACACCACTGTGAGAATGTCTTCGATATTTAGCACCTTCCCCCACTAGTGAACAGTGATCACGTTGTAATTCACTTTAAGTTTAGGACACATGGTATACAATTCGTATCTGCTCCACCCCATCCCAATATCTGGCGAGCCAATATTCCGGCAATCAGAAATTGTGCTATCTCGACTGATTGGTTGGTTGACGCGGATGGATTGATCGAAGATGAATGGAATAAGTTTAAGGCTACATTCAAGTCCGTAACATCGCCGTTTGTCCCATGGTCAGCACGTAAGCTATCACACTGCCCTCCATGGATTAATAAAGAAACCCGGAAGCTGTTAAAGCGCAGGAAACACTTCTGGGACTTGTTCTTGTTGACAGGTCATGTATCATTTAAGCGTGAGTACCAAAAATTCCGTAATATCTGTAAGAAAACCATAGCCAAATCCCGTACCACTTACGAACGACAGTTAGTATATGATAACCGTACTTGTCCGAAACGATTGTTTTCGTATGTTAAACGGCGAATGAAACATAGTGATTGTATTCACCCGTTACTGTTACACGAAAATTCAGATTTACTAGCTGAATCAGATCGAGCAAAAGCTGAGACTTTTTCGGACTATTTTAGCGAAGTCTTCTCTACGTTTATTGTAACAAATACTTGTCACACTCACACCGAGATACCAACCACTGAATCTGTACAGGTGACTGAGGAAACTGTCCTTCCGTTGATAACTAACCTTAAACCTGGTAAGATACCGGGCCCTGACGGGTTAAATCCGCGACTGCTGTCATCTCTTGCGGAAATTATTTCAAAACCGCTTGCGACACTCTTCGACATGTCCCTTTCACTTGCTCAACTCCCTACAGATTGGAAGAACGCTATAGTCAGTCCTATATTTAAGGACGGTCAGAGGCAGATAGTATGTAACTACCGGCCTGTTAGTCTAACTAGCATTGTCGTTAAGTTGCTTGAAAAGATAATTCAGGTTAGGTTGCTAAGCCACATAGATTCACACAACCTATTAGCTCCTGAGCAACATGGATTTCGTAACAAGCGTTCATGCTTGACTAACTTACTTATTGCGAGGGAGGATTGGACAGCAGCCCTAGATAACGATCTGTCGGTCGATGTGATATTCATAGATCTTAGCAAAGGATTTGACAAGGTTTCACACTTAGGTCTTATGCAGAAGCTCACGAGCTTCGGAATGATAGGTACTGTACAGGAGTGGATAGGTAACTTCTTATGTGACCGTAAACAGAGAGTGAGGGTCAACGTAACGCTATCCGATTGGAAGCCGGTCACAAGTGGTGTACCCCAAGGCACCATCATAGCCCCTCTGTTCTTCCTTCTCTACGTTAATGAGTTACCGCTGTTGCTTAGGTCGTCGACATTATTGTTTGCGGATGATGTAAAGATCTGGAGAACAATAAAAAGTGCGGCTGATCATCTGGATCTTCAAGCTGACTTAGACGATTTAGTTAGATGGGCTCGAGAGTGGGGCTTAGAAATCAATGCTAGGTAGAGTGTGCTAATGCACATCGGTCACGGTAATAGTTACCGTTACACTATTGAGGGTAAACCTCTTCCATGCATTCATGAGCATAAAGACTTAGGAGTAGTATTAAATCATGACTTAAAAACAACTACGCATTGCGAAACAGCAGCTGTCAAAGGTTTTCGTGCGTTATGGTCACTTCGCCGAGCGTTCAAATCTTTTGAAGATGAAATTTTTCGAACTTTATATCCCACCTACGTAAGACCACATTTAGAGTACTGTATCCAAGCAGCTAGCCCGTGTCTGGTAAAGGATACTAACTTCCTTGAGCGTGTCCAGCGTGTGGGATCGAAGTTAGTGAAAGGTCTTTCTAGACTCCCTTACGATGAGCGTATAAAACGCCTAAACCTTTTCCTCTTGTCGTTTCGTAGGACGCGAGGTGACCTTATACTGACATTTCGTATCTTTAATTGGGATTTGGGTGTTATTATCTCTTAATTTTTCGCTTCCTCCAGCACTAATAATCTCCGAGGTCATAGCAAGAAAGTTCATAAACCGTGATCTAATAAACTTAAAATGAGGTCCCGTTTTTCTCATCGAGTAGTCAATGATTGAAACGCCTTACCCGAACAAGTGGTATCAGCCCCATCAGTGAATACTTCCAAGGAGAAACTGGACCTTCATTGGAAAGCAGTGTGTCAGGATCAATACAGGTTCATCAACCTACTATCCTTATTACTGAAGAAGAAGCTTCGGCTTAACAGGCCTCCGTATCTAGTAGCAGGGGATCACCAAATCCTCCAGACAGGAACCTACGTATGTTAACAATAAAACAGGAAAATAAATTTAAAATACATAGTGCGATTCTATCCTTAGTCCTTAAGAATAGATCAAGTTGCCTCTTAAAGGATTCCTGGGAAGTCGCTTGGACTAGCTCGGCCGGCAGAGAATTCCAGCATTTGACAACTCCTAAGGAGTTGAAGTTGTGTCTACATTCCGTCTTGCTATGTTGTGTTTCCAGTTTCTGAGTGTTACCCCTTAGGTTATTATTCGAACTAAGCTTAAGTAGGTGTTTAAGAGGATGTCCAGAAGTGTTAAGAATACTATAAGCCATTTATAAATCACCTCTAAGACGCCTATATTCTAGTGGGTAAAGGTCTAGTGAACGGAGGCGTTCTTCGTAAGGTTTGGATTTGAGTCCTCGAACTGATTTCGTGGCTAGACGTTGGATACGCTCGAAAGTGACCTTGTCCTTTTGGAGTGAGGGGGGAGTACTATGTTTCCGTACTCTAAATGGGGACGGATGAAACTATCGAAGATTATATGGAAAGTTCTTCCGTCAAACTGGCCAAAAATGCGCTTCAGTGTTACCAGTGCAAGGTTTGCTTGGAAGTCATTTTTGTCACATTTAGCGTGAGACTTTAAATCGTTGGGCACCAGGACTCCTAAATCTTTTTCGACTCGGGATACTACTAGAGAGGAGTTTCCTAAGTTGTAACTGTAGTCTGCGACATGTCACAGATGGACTACTTTACACTTTGAAACGTTAAAGGTAAGTCCGTTATTGTCTGCCCAACTTTGAAGTCTAGTCAGATCCTCCTGAAGTGCCTGTATGTCGTCTTGGTTGTGTATCACTCTCCAAAGCTTCACGTCATCGGCAAGAAGTAATAAGTCTGACGTCACCTGTTGAGGAAGATCATCTATGTAGACCAAGAAGAGGAGATGTCCCAGTACCAAGCCCTGGAGGACCCCACTAGGACATTCCATAGCCTGAGATAAAGTGAAATTAACCCTGACCTTAAAATGTCAATTTTTCAGGTATGAAAAGAGCCAATCGATTAGAGGTGGTCTGATACCTAATCGTTTGAGCCTATCGATATGACATGTATGGTTAACCTTATCAAAAGCTTTTGAGAAATCTAGGTACATGATATCAACCTTCCCCTTGCGACCACGGATGCTTGTCTATCTGTCCACCGCAGTCAGCAGGGTGGTTATACAAGAGTAACCCTTCCTGAAACCATTCTGTTGGGGTGGGAAGAAATTTAAGGACAGTAAATGGTTATTTATACCATAGCATATCAGGGACTCCATGATTTTCGAAGGTATTGAGAGAAGAGCCACCGGTCGGTAACTTGAAGGTTCGCTGCGTCGACCTCCTTTGGAAATTGGTGTGATGTGAGCCAACTTCCAATTTTCCGGTAGTTTGCCTCGGCTTAGCGAGTGTGAGAGCATCACGCTGAGCGGCGTTGTCAGGATTGAGGCTGCTTCCCTCAGTATGGCAGAATGGACCATATCCGGGCCAGGATAATTGTCTATTCTTAAGTGCTGCAGTTTGCGAAACACCAAGTCAGCGCTCAGTTTCACTTCTGAAAGTCCTGTGCAGTTGCAAATGGAGCTGTCATCAGTATAGTTGATGTGGGTCGGTTGGAATGTCTGAGAGTATTGTTCAGTCAAAAGGGTAGCGGCGTGACCGTCGTTGTTTGTCGAGCCGTTAGGACTTTGCAGTTGGGAAACTCCAGTTTTAGCTTGACGAAGAGAAGCTGCATAACGGAATAAGCTTTTTGGATTAGAGACAAATTTGTCCATAATCTTTATTTTGTACTGAAGCCTTTGTTGTCTTATAGCCTTCGTGCATATGTTCCTTATATGTTTGTATTACCTATACGCGCCGTTGTTGTCAGTTCTTTTGTACTCTGCCCAACATTGCCTTTTGCGGCTTAGCAGGCGAGAAGAGTGCGGTTCTTGATGATTGTGGGTTGCTGATAGCTGTGAAGGACCGTTTGCGGAAGTGAATGTTTTGTGGCACATAAGAGCGTGTGCAGTAAGAAGTCTCAATGAGCATCCACATCGAGTTGAGGGTGAACATCCCAATCCACCTGTTGTAGATAGTCCTGTAAAGCTGACACATCCAACCGTCTGAAATTTCAGAGCAAGTTGTTGGTGGGATATCTTAGCTCAGTTTTGCTGACAAAACAGAAAGCTATAAAGGCGTGGTCGTTTTTTCCCAGAGGAGCCAGGATTGAGATGTTGTCAACTAGGAATTCTTCGTTTGTAAATACACAGTCTAAGCGCGACAGTGTCTGACTGTTTCTCCAACGAGTTGCCGACTTCACATTTTTGTATAATCCCAAGTCCTCAATGAGGTTGAAGAACCAAGCTTCAATTGAGTTGTCGCCTCCAGTATACGTGTGTTCCGCGAAGTTGACTTTTGGGGAATTAAAGTCCCATAGATTCAGGATGTATGTGAAACCTAGACGAGTAGAGAGGGATAGTCCTTCCAGCACACGACTGCCATACTCGATGTCGGCAGTGGGCTTCCTATATTAGACTCCGACTAGACACCTCGAAGTACTATGGATTCCTCAAGATTGTTAAACTCGAGGTTATTAACTTG